TGAAGAGCTACTGGAGAGAGTCCAGCGGAGGGCTACAAGGATGGTGAGGGGACTGGAGCATCTCTCCTATGAGGAGAGGCTGAGGGAGCTGGGCTTGTTCAGCCTGAAGGAGAGAAGTCTGCGAGGGGACCTAATATATGCTTACAAATATCTCAAAGGTGGGTGTCAGGAAGATGGGGCCAGACTCTTTTCAGTGGTGCCCAGTGACAGAACAAGGGGCAATGGGCACAAACTGAAGCACAGGAAGTTCCGTCTGAACATGAGGAAGAACTTCTTCCCTCTGAGGGTGACGGAGCACTGGAACAGGCTGCCCAGGGAGGTTGTGGAGTCTCCTTCTCTGGAGATATTCAAGACCCACCTGGACAAGGTCCTCTACAGCCTACTGTGGGTGACCCTGCTTCGGCAGGAGGGTTGGACTAGATGACCCACAGAGGTCCCTTCCAACCCCGACCATGCTGTGATTCTGTGATTCTGTAGTGCATTAAGTGAGATTAAGGATTTGCTACTCATAGGTAGCACACTAGAAGGTCTTGACTTTGAACATATCACTTTTGGTGACTGAGAAATACTGGCTTATGTGTGAGTATTTTACGTACCAATACATGCTCTGTTTTGGAAGCCAATTTCTTGTGTTTCCTAAAGGGTTTTCTTTAATAACCTCACTATTTCAGCCATCCCATTTATTTAATTGAGAGCATGTTGCTGTCTAGCCTGCAGACAAACTAGCTAACCATGTCATTTTACCTTCTTGAGTGCAGTTTCACATTACAGGACTATCAGCCCAGAGAGTTATCATACAGCAATAATAAGCTAACATAGCTATGTGAGCAAATTTAATTAACTGCAGAAATGTAATTCTCAGTTTTTCCCTGGCTTGGCCAACATCCAGAAGTATGTAGCTTTTATGCTGTAAAATACGAACTATGCACATTTGCGTGGAGGGATCATCTGAATAGTCTTTGGTATCCATATCCTGATTTTGGATCACTTTTTACTGTGCGTTTATGCCTGCTCATCTGTTGCATTTGTACTTGGCTTAAAAAACTAACATTAAGGTTTTACTGTTGAACCTCATCTGAGGTGTTTTTTAAAGGCATAGCTACTAAAGAACATATCAAAAGGTGCATATTCCAGCATGCTGTCTTCCTGAATAATGTTTTCAACAGCTGCAGCAGTTGTGGATATTATCACGTTGTGAAATATGTTTGAAACATGCTTGCAGTATGAATGGCCACAGACTAGACATAGTGAAAGCTTAACCTGGGTGCTCCACAATCCAACTTCTCTATATAACCAACAGCTCTTTCTCCCACATTCACACCCAGCTTCAGTAGACAGACTGTTTACAGCCTGGTTCCCACTACAGTGTTCATCGCTTCTGTGGTGGCTTATATATAGATGCATTTTTAATTATTAAGCTCTACTGTTATTATACCTAAAAGATTGCTAGTAAAGTGTGACATAGTGGGAATGGTGACTTTCTGGCATTTGAATTTCAACCAACCTTGAATCTAATTTTATGGCCAAGGGTATTCATTAGCTTCTGGGAGAGCAATAATGACACCAGAGCTTATTCTAAGCAGTTGCAGGAGGATTTCATAATGATTGTATCAGGCTAGCTAAGTATACGAGTTACTGTTAGACAAATTCTTTACACAAACTGAAGTGAAAAAAATGACACTGCGTACTCATGAAATAAATACATCATGCATCAATGCGTTTTATTTGTATTCTAGTTTACTTTTTTTTTTAATAAAACATTTTAATGAAAAGGTTCTTTCACACCTTTTTTTCCAGCCCAGGGTCAATATCCCTAAGCCCTCTGCTCCAATTTCTCTCTATATTTTTAACTGTATGCAAAGCTTATGGTGTCTCAGCTGTAACTTGCATGTGATTTTAAAGTACCTAAGAGCAGCTTAGGTGTATCAAGGTCTGAATCCCACTTGCTTTTGGCTTGTAGTGGAGGGCATAATGTATATGTATGTTAAATATAGGTTTTTAATGAATGTACATGGACTTTTTCAAACATAAGATGAAGTAGTGTGGTTGTTAGGCTGGGTAGGTGGGACAAAACCAAAAAACACCCCTTTGATCATTTAGCTGGATACCCTGGCTGATTTTGTACTTGTCCTATCTTTACTTTCCTTTTTGAGAGCTAATTTTCAATGATGCTAAGAGACCACAAGAAAATTTACCCTAAAGGTTTACTCTCTTTTAGTGGTGATAACATTTGTGACTGGGAGAGAAGATGTTTGAAGACCTATTGTAATCTGATCAGAATTACTTGGATCTGGCAGCTGGATTGAAATTTATTTTAAAAAACATCTTAGCAGTACTTCTGTTTATTTTTTGTTGAGAATAAAATGGAGACATTATCTTTTTAGCAGTTGCTTTCCAGCACTCTGGAAATACACATCATGATTGTGTATTAAGCTTCATCTTAATACTTACTAGTGTTTTTTTTTAATGACACTGGTATAAATGTTATGTGTCTCTGGTGACCCTGCTCTCTTTATTACAGGTCCTGTTGTCAGGATTGATTGGTGTTGTTTCTTGGAAGAGGCCCCTTTCACTTGTGGTGAGTGGCAATGTGGCTTTAATCATCTTATGCAGACTTTAGATAAGTGATTAAAGGATTCTGTGGAAGTAACTCCCAGTGGTTTTGTCTTTATGTAGAAGCCTAATAGTCTTTTAGTGCTGTTATGTATCCTCATAGTTATAAACACTTAGAACAAAAGTTTTGGGACTTTGAGGTTGTATTACATAAGCTATCTAGGTGACGGTAATATTTTTCTTCTACCTGTACTGAAGTCTTGGAAAGCCGTGATATACAATACCTACTGCCCCTTCCTTGCTGTTGTTACAGTTCTATCTCTCTTTTTGAAAAGTCACAGCATATGGTTTCGTAATTTAAATGTGAGAACTAATGAATCATATACATTTTGATAAATATGTATGTTTAAAGAAAGGCAACAATCATACTGTAGCTAATGGTGTGATATTAAAAATCGCTGAAAATAGCGTTGCGTAGTAGATATGCTTAATACTGCAGTATGGCTTGGATTAATAAATATGAAATATGTTATAATTTTCAATAATTTTTTATTAATGTATTTTAAAAATTAATGCTGACCTTAGAAAAGGGCTTAGTCTGTCACTATTTTTCTAGACAAACAGACTGTAGGTCTGCTTTTATCTTTGCATTTAACTTCCCTAAAATTGCACCACAGAGAAATATTTTTAACCAACTATCTGGATAGCAGAAAATGATATTCCAAATTAGTAGCTGTTCTTCTTTGTCTGCAACACAATTTTCAGCTATATTATGTGTTTTGTTGTGAGATTCATGCAATTGCTTAATAGTGAAAAGTAATTTATGCCTTGTATATGCATGGTAATAGAGTTTCAATTAACCTCTTAACACAGCAGTGTTAGATTCAAATCAATGTTATTAAAAAAGTGAGATGCCTGTGTCAATAAGGATGTATTAGCAGGTAAATATTGCCTTTGAAAAAGTGTGCATATGTAATACAGTAACATACGTAACATTTGTAACATAGCTAATACTAAAGGTAGTCCCAAGAAAAAAGAATAGTGGAAACTATGAAATGGAAACACCTCTATTTTAACAAGAATAAGCCTAATTAGAACTTCAGGTATATCTGTCAGTATTATGAACTAAAGCAGCAGTGTTAGAGCTTCTGATTTTTTTTTTTTCTTTCCCTTTCCATAATTCACTTTTTATTGTTATTACAGAAAGGACAGATTGAGTTTGTATTGATTAACTGGTTGGTGTTTTTACCAACAGATGAACTCTATATCATGTAGAAAGCTGTCTGATGGCAAGATAAATGTGCCCAAAATGAGGTCAAAGTGAAGTAAATTAGTGTAATGAGTGCCCATGAGAAAGGTAGCAGGCAGGTTTCTGGACTAAAATAGAAAAAAAGACAAATTTTTACTCACCATTGATGAGCAGGGAGAGCTTTCACATTAAAACATATCAAAGGACTGGTATGTCATGAATGGGCAGACATCAAGTTAAAATATTCAGAATTTCTCATAGAATCATAGAATGTTTTGGGTTGGAGGGGACCTTCAAAGGCCATCTAGCCCAACCTCTCTACAACAAGCATGGACATCTTCAACTAGATCAGGTTGCTCAGAGCCCCATCCAACCTGGCCTTGAATGTTTCCAGGGATGGGGCATCGACCACCTCTCTGGGCAACCCGTTCCAGTGTTTCACCACCCTCACTGTAAAGAATTTTCTCCTTGTATCCAGTCTAAATCTACCCTCCCTTAGTTTTAAAGCCATTACTCCTTGTCCTCTCACTACAAGCGCTGCTGAAACTATTTTCCCCATCTTTCCTATAGGCCCCCCTCAGGTACTGGAAGGCTGCAGTAAGGTCTCCCCACAGCCTTCTCTTCTCCAGGCTGAACAGCCCTGAGTCTCTCAGCCTGTCCTTGTAGGAGAGGTGCTCCAGCCCTCGGATCATCTTTGTGGCCTCCCCTGGACCCTTCTTCTTCTCAGGCTTTTCAATTTAATTTTTTAAAAGCAAACAATGAATGTGTCTATGAGAATACGTGGACGGGATGGGAGCAGTCATTTGGTTGCCCCAGTACTTCTCTGGTTATCTCTTGCTGGACAGAAGCAGGAAGAGGCACAAAAGAACTATTTTTTTTTTTCCTGGTATGACCAAAGGGGAGCATGGCCCAAAATGCTGTTTTCTCCATTAGTCCATCAGTAATGTAGTTCATATTGGAGATTTCTCAGATTTGCAGTGTTGTTTAGAGAAAGAACGTGTATCTCTGGGTAAAGATTGGATTAAATTTCTGCTCAGTGTTATGACAAGTAGCTGGTATACCTGTTTTTATTCCAGTATATTTTATTCTACCTTATGGGCTTTGTTAATAATAATTCTTTACCTGGTAGCTGGGAATGATGCCTCTTGATTGAATAAAACTAAAGAGGATTCTGATAGTATTACCTACTAGAAATATTTGAAAAGACTGACAATGAAAGAATCATGAAATTGTGTGGTTTACACCCAGTTCTCATTTGATTTTCATTTGTGTTACACTTTACTGCTCACATGTTGCAAACTATTAAAACTAAGATAATTCCTCTGAATTGAGAGCTTGTACAACTCTGAAATCTAACTAAAACGAACACTTTTCAAATTAGTTGCTAGTAAGCTGCTGGAATTGCTGCTTACATCATTGAAATGAGCAATATTCGTGCATCAGAAATGTTGTTCAGGCCCACTGAGACTTTGCTTTTTTGATTCCTGAATACTTGCATATTGTAAATTCAGCTATGCTTTTGAATATCAATTCATTTGGTGAAATGTAAATAGGCAGTTGTGGTCAGTGTCATTTGAGGAAATAAATATAAAAGGGAAAAAATAATAAGTGGTAGCATTCATTCTCTCAGAACAGCTCACGTTCCTAAAATATGCTTTAGGAAATTCTTTCTTTCCAAGAGTAAGCTTAGTGCTCATGAGTTAGATCCTGATAGTTTTTCTTCACCATTTCTGTATTGGCACTTGGTGGTGGTATAATTATCAGTTGGAGGAACAGGGGATAGGGATGATGGTTTTTGTTTGCAGTGGCTACATAATGTCTGTTTTTCTTTGAGGTGTAAATACCTGTTAGCGGTTGGAACCCATGTGTGCAGTGTGACTGTTCTGATTAAGTAATTTATACTGTATAACTTCATAACCTCGTAGCACAAAGTACCATCAACATGCTAATAAATTGTATTTCGTGATCTTATTTATACAATACATATATAAAATACATATGGTCAATAATTACTTTTTAATGTATAGTAGTACAAACAACTATATAATCAGTTACAATATACATGTCTTTTTTGTTGCAATGTGTTACAAAATTTGACATTGCAGTGAGCAACAACAGAAAGAAAGATAGCTTTATCATTTGAAGCCATGAGTAAAGTTTTATGAAATTACATCTTACATCACCTGTGACATTCTAAAAACTGGTGAAACTCTGGTAAAATTTTAAGGTGCCAGTTTCCTGCAAGTTTTGAATTTGTGTCTAAAACAGAGTTGATAACCTGTAACACCAGTGTTTTGGCTGTTGCTGAGCAGTACCTGCACAGTGTCAAGGCTTTCTCTTTTTCCCCACTCTGCATCACTTGCTTTGTTTTTTTTTCTTCCTCTTTCCTTTGCTTATTAAACTCTCTTTATCTCAACCCACAAGTTTTCTCACTTTTACCCTTCTGATTCCCTCCCCGATCTCATCAGAGAGGACTGAGTAGGGAGTGGCTGTGTGGTGCTTAGCTGCTGCCAGGGTCAACCCCTCATACTACAGATTCTGGTTTGCTCACTGCTGTATTAATGTAATTTTTTTTCACAGATGCAATGTCTTTTCTTTGCAAATGTATTATTTTCTGCGGGCAAAAAGAGGAAGTCGAAGCAATAAACACAGATAGTAGTTCATCAGCCGTTATCTTCTGACTGTATCTTACCAGAAATGTGCTATGTAGTATTGGTGTACAAATGACTGAGTGGTTGAATGGTTTACACCTTGGCACCAAAGTCGTAACTGAGAATAGTTGTGTATTTACAAGACATTAGTATGAGTGGTGGTGTTTTATTATACATTCAGTAAAAGATTTGTGAGTGTGTACGTACTAAGGAAATTTTACGGTGATATTAATGTGCAGAAATTTAATTACACATAGAAGCTCTCATGCTAAAGTGTCTCTGTAACTTAATTAATTAATCTGAAGGATTCACCAGATTTTGTTAGTTTATCTGAATTTCGTTGGTCACCACCAAGCCATAAGTTGCTTATGTTGCCAAAATGCTTCATTATATACAAGGAATCAGTGTCTGTTATCAAACCGGTATTTACATTTACCATAAGAGACACTTGGGCAAAGGAGATCTTCAAATTGCTTACGCATTTATTACGAACAGTATTTTCCATATATTTCAGATCTTTCCTCATTAAGCTTTCTCTGTTTTTAGTTACAAAATCTCAGATAATTTGTAGTGCTCTGGGCAAATCTTTCAAGAGTCCCCTATTTGGAAATTAAGTGCTGGCTCTCTCAGGACCACTGCTTAAGGTTAAAATGCTGTGTTAAAATAGAATTTGTTTCCTCGTGGTTTATGGAAGTATCTAAAATTTGGGGGAGAATTTGTGTAGCTCCAGAGGTTGGATTACCTTGTACTAAACTTTAAACTGTGCCGTGAGATTATTTTTCTGTTACAGTCTATGGTAATTGCAAATCTGTTTCTGCTAAGGAGATTAATTCAGCCTCTGAATTGAGTAGAAAGCTTCTCTGTTGCCATCTGGCATGTGGGTGATCCCAGAAAAATATTTTTACGTTTCTAACTGAAAGCTTTTACAACAAACCGATAGATTTAATAATTTTTTTCAAGAAACGGAAGCATATTTTCTTGATGTCTGTGAATGTCAGTGAACACAGCATAGTACTTCATATTAATAAGTGATCTTGATTTCTCAGAATAGCTATTTAAAAGCATTTCCTATGAAATCTGAATTCCATATACAGTTCCATGCATCAGTGAACATGCAAATCTGTG